AGAAGGCATAGTCTTTTCAGACTCCCACAATCCTGGACCTAACCCCTTTAGATATTTGAGGTGGTGGAAAACATTTTGTATCATGAAAAGAACAAAATTTTTCCCATGTTTCATATTTTATATTATGAAAAAATGTGCTTATATACTTAGACTGAGATGACAATTTTGTTATTCATTATTTGTAAAATATGTCGGCTTTATATCACGTAGTTTGATTCCCTGTGAAATTATAATCTTAACTTTTCTAGTCATCTGAAACCTCCTGAATAAACTGATATCAATTAAGTAGCCTTCTTATGTTGTATACCTCCCAGTCTGCTTAGATTCGCCATCACAGGAGGTGTTATGGTTTCACTACATATGAAAGACTGCCTCACCTGTATGCTTTGTTTTAGCTTCTAGATTGTGCCTTTACAGTGTATGCAAAAACAATAATCAGTCTCACCAATGAGAGAGGAGTGCCACAGTTCTCTTGCGTATGTAATAGGAAAAGAGCTTCCCAACGGCACTCTCAGGCTCATCTTCTAGGAGGCTCCTGGAACTTCGGATGAGCTGGTTGGCAGATGGATGTGAATCCCTGGATCTACTCACAGCAAAACCAGTTTCAATTTCAATGTACTCAAAAATTCAGGCTCGCTGTAGGCTTTTCATAGTTCTGAAATACAAATTTAGGCAAATCTAAAAGTTCTTTCAAATCCATATCTTTTATTTCCTATCTTTTATTTAGGAATAGTGTTTCCTTAGAACCTTAGACCAGCTGAGTTTAAAAGATGTCTCAAGAACAGGCTTCATTATTTTAAGCTTGAAGTTTTATACATGCAGCTCTATTTATTCCCAAAGAGAGGGATATATAGCCATTGAAGGATCCATTTGTACTTTAGACAAAATGGTAGCATGCATAATTTCTTTTTGAGATAGGGTCTTACTCTGTAGTTCAGGCTGGCCTTGAACTTTGTGTAACTCACACTGGCCTTAATCTCAAAGTGATCCTTTTGTCTCAGCTTCCTGAATGCTGGTATTACAGGCATGGACCACCATGCTGGGATTAGCATGAACGAATTTATTTTTAACATTTAAGTGGTCATTTCGCTTATCATTTCCTACCTCTACACTCACTCCTTCTGAAGCTTTCCTCTTCTCATTTTTCCTATTCCTAAACCCAAATCATGTGATCTCTCCTATGTTAAAATTTGTCTTTTCTATATAAAGTTTCTGTCATAAATTAAGGAAAAAGTCTGTAGGGGATTTCATGCTAAATAGTAGCAGACCTGAATGGTAGAATGTTGATTTACTGAAGTCAAGAGTCATTTTTCTAGTTCCTATTATCACATTCTAACTGTGCCTATCTCCTTTTCTTTGCATATGATTAACACAGATTTTGGGTGAGAATTAAAATTTTAAGTGAAATTTGTGAGACTATTTTCAATTACATATGGGAGCCTGTGGTGATTTTTATATAGCAGTGGTAAATTGTTTTATCATATTGCATAAATATGAAATCAATGGTACTATATAGAACAAGACTCATTTATTTATGTTATAGTATTGATTATTCTTCTTTTCAATTTATCCCAATTAACTAGTGATGGAAACTGGAAAGAACATTTCAGTTTGTTTGTTATTTATTTGCTTGTTGCTTAACCTATTACGCTCAATTTTTAGCTTGTCAATTTCACAGGAAAAGTTATTAATTTAATAAAGAATATTTGTGTTTGAGCTCAAACACAACTTACATTCCCAGTTGGCCAGGAAAGGTGAGAATTGCTTTCTTGAAATACTTGTGGTGTCAGAAGGTCATGAGAAGTGAGAGCTCATCTTTCTCTGCTCTGTGAGAACATCGATCTTTCTGTTTCCGTGAAAAGTTAGGAAGAATAAGTGGCCTCAGGCGACTTCCTGATGCTGAAGTTAGTGAAAAGCCACACTCAAAACTATGACATTCTATAAAATTAATCTTTCCTGTTAATAGAGAAGAGTAAACTATTTGGGATAAACTATTTGATTTCAAAACTTTGGTTTAATTTCAAGTAAGCTCAATTACTCTAGTGTTTACACAAAAAAGAACCAAACCAGAACAATACTTTAGGTTTGTACTCTAAGCCAGTGCTTTATAAGTCATTCATTACAGAATAAAAATAAAAATAGTTCAGCTTTCACAGATATGATCACTTTTGATTAGATAAATGCCACTGTTCCCAGGATGCACTGGTAATTCTTTTTGAGCCCCTCGGCATCATTCTGTGCCCATCCAGTCTTCATGTTATCTGGCTCCCTTGCTGGCTGGCTTCCAGCTGGTTTTGACTAGTGAGAGACACGAGAGAGATAGGAAAGATCAAGAAGTCAGTACTCAAAATATTACTCTGCTATGCACACTGCTTCCAAACGCTGGCCTCAGCTTTTTACTTCCATGACTACAGAGGATATTCCTGTGTGGTTGCTGCCTTCTGGGCTCCAGTAACAAGTCCCTCAGGTCATGAGTGGTAATGGTTTTCTGCTGCTGCTCTTTTGTGGGTGCCACAGGCCACTTCATGGGGCCCTCTGTGGTTTGAATGATCTAAATGGGCCTGTGTTCAAGGCTCAGTTTCCAAGAGTAGCGGCATGGGTAGTGTAACCTTGAGGAGGTGGGCTTTCTGAGAGGTGTTTAACAGGTCACTGGGAACAAGCCCTGGAAAGACTCTTAGTCTTATTGCTTCCTGGCTTATGAAGGAAACATTTTTTTTTTAATGCCTCCCTCACTGGCTGTGATGTGCTGCCCTTGAAAGGGCCCAAACCACCTGATCTTGTGCTGGAAACTCCTGAAACCATAAATCAAAATAAACTTGTTTTGGTTTCAAATATTTGTGTTATAATACAAAGGTGACTTATCATATAGGCTCTCTTCCCTTTTTAAAGCAATCTCTTCATTTAAATCGTCTCAATTCTACTTTCTAATTCTGCTCTGACTAGTACAGTACATATTTCAAAATTGAGTTAATATATTAAACAGCTTAGAAAAATGTTATAAGATAAAATATGTTTACAGATGTGGCATACTTCTTAAAATAGATTCATTTCGTACTTAACATGCTGTTAGAGTGGCAGGCAAGTGTTTTTAGTTGTTCTCTAATTTTTGAAATCGAGAACTGAAGGACTGTAGATTCTGTCTTAGATCAGAACACACATGGTATATGACCAAAAGAGAAGATGAAAGTGCAGAATGAGATTATTTAGGTGCAAGGTTAATTTACATTGAAATAAAATAAGTACAATCTCATGTACAGGGTTGTGTAAGGAGAAGATTGACATTTTGTTGTTTTACCCCAGGTCTAATTTTAAAAATTACTTTCATTTTCTACCTCAAGGCAATTAACCTGTCAATCAACTTTCTGTGTTTATAAAATTTTTTCTGTGATGAAAGAGGTGTCATTTACATAACATTTGCAAAAGTAATATAAGTGAACCCAGTTAATAATTCCAGAATGGCTTCTTAAGAGTCTTCTCATATTAGTATTACATTTGAATTCATTTTTAATGAGGAAAAGCCTTTCAAGAATATTTTCTGAACTGTTTTTTCAAAGAGAAGACAAAAAGACTAAAAGTCAGCTATTCTTTCTTTGAGATACTGGCTAAAAACCCTAGTAACCCTTTTGTGGATTCTGGCAGTGTGGTGCTCGTTTCAGAGTTTGTCCATAGTCTGCACTGAGAATTTGGGAAGCAGAGGAAGAGACGTGTCGTCTTCGATCCTGGTCTCAAGGTGCACCTTTCAGGGAGCACATTATAGTCACGATACAGAATGTTTTATTTTTTCCTGCTGTATTAATGTATTCCATCTTTCAAAAAAGAAAGACTTGATTTTAAGCTGTATTACCTACCAGTATGTTAAAATAATAAATAAAAGTACTTAGGTCTCCGTGCTAATCCTGTCCTATACTCTATGCCGACTTGACAGTGTGAGCACTGGGTGGGCTCCTTCATCAAGGCTGTCTGTCATTCTGCAGAATCTCACACGGGCTGGCTATGAGTGCGTCCAGTACACTAGGAAACAGTAGATCACGGAAGAGAACGGGCGAGCGGGTGGACACCGCCCCTTGGGGCCTCTGCTGTGGGGAGGGGCAGCCGCCTCCCTCGACCCTCTCAAGCCCCAGCTCAGAGGAGCAGCGAAGGCGGCTTTCTTCTGGCTGAAACTGGATCAGCTGATGGACATTCTTTGCCAGATTGTCAGTGGAGTCCAAGCAGAATCCTTTGAAATGCTTCACTTTTCCTCTGTCTCATCCATATCCATGTCCACATCTTTAGGCAGAAAGACATCTCAGTTCTGCCTCCTTATTGTTTCTCCTTCCTCTTCCTCTTCCTCTTCTTCTTCTTCTTCCTCTTCTCCTTTTTCTCCTCCTCCTCTTCTTCCTCTTCCTCTTCCTCCTCTTCTTCCTCTTCCTATTTTTCTTTTCTTTCTTTTTTCTTTTCTGTACCGAGGATCAAACTCAGGACCTTGGCTCGTGAGACAGGTGCAGCCCCACTGAGCTACATCCCGGCCCTGTTTCCTTACTTCTTGCTTTTCTTGTTCCTCCCTTTGGCTACGGGGATTCGGCCAGTATTAGCCGGCCGTTCTGCAAGATTAAAACACGATGCTTTAAAGCAATATTATAAAATTTAACGTTTAAAACGTCCACGGTGGAGGGAATACTAAAATACTGAATAAAAGCGGCACGGGATCCTGCCCTTGAACAAGCTAGCCTCGCGGGCTCACCGGACTCAGAATTACCAGCACAGCGAACCTGCTTCTGCGGGCTCTGGGCTGAGGCTTCAGTGTCCGCTCCGCCTTTCTCATTAGAACTAAAAAAACAAATGACTTTTCCTGCACAATCTCGCTATGTTAGGTAAACAGCTGGGGGGTCACGCCAGAGTCTGCAGCTGCAGCCCTAGGGTGACAATCCGAGATGCCGGGCTTCCCTGGCCCCACAACCCTGCCAAGGAGCGGACAAGGTGTGTCTGGGGGAGCGCAGAGGGGCGGCGCTCAGGTCTCCTCCCCAGGGACTCGCAGCTGCCACCTGCCGCCTCCCTGGGCGGTGCTGGGGACGCTGAGAACCTGCTGCCTATCAGAGGGGGAGACGCTGGGGGAGGCGGAGTGTGTGCTGCAGGGGGACCCCAGAGGGCCTGCCGGAGTGTGAGGGAGCGAAGGAGGGAGGGAGGAGGGAGGAGAGGAGGAGCCCCAGACGCAAGCTGGGCGCGGAAGCAGCGCTGTCCCCGGACCTGGGTGCCCAGTCCTGGAATCATGGCCTTCCTTTCCTTCCTCTCCGCGCTGGTGCTTCTGTCCACGCGGACCCAGAGCCCAGCGGCAGCAGGAAACCCACGTAAGTACAGCCATTGGCGTAAAACTTACACTGAGGTACCAGGAAACTTCGTGTTTGCATTATTGGTGATATTCGGACCTAGAATTGCAGACCATGCTCCTGAAAGTACGGCATTTAAAATTAAAGTCTATTGAATTGCGGTTTGAAAAAATATAATTTTGTTTACAGTAGACGTTCCTCTTGTAGGGGAGTCTAAAATATCTGATGCATATTTGACTTTTAGTCTATGTATTTGAAGAATTATTAAAAAAGGGAACGTTTTCATAAAATCGAAAAGAATGTCATAATAAGAGATTAGCCCGCAAACGGTGTCATTATTTTTAAGGATTGTAGCACTCTTTAGGAATTAAATCTAGCAGGAAAATAACTGGCAGACATTACATCATACTGTATCAATTTAGATGTTAACAGCTTACAGTTCTGCAGCTCTTGGCAGTTTCACAGTTAAGATGCTCATTAACTCTTGTGTCCTACAGGCATGGAGCACCTGTAGGCGAATGTGAATTTTACAACCCAAATTTCATAGCTTGACCAAACTACTAAGGCAGTAACACAACAACACTCCCTTGAAAATTCATTTGTAATACTGGAAAGTTCTTACTTAAAGGCAGAACTTAGCCAATTATTTAGATGATCTTGAAAATAATTCTTCTGTGGGTGCTAGTAGTTCACATTTAAAAAATTGTCCTTAGGTACTTTGTTTTTAATTTGGTAAAAATTTAGAAAGATTTTAGTTTCAGAACAAGACATATTCTCATGAAGATACTCCAAATAGTTCAGCAGAATCCAATTCACTCTTCTTTTATCATACACAAACTGTGTTAAAATGATTTTGAATGGATTAAATCTCTAAGAAATTTCTTCTTTAACAATCCAGCCATGGTACTGGAACATCAAAATGTATTCCTTTTTGTACTAATAACATCTTATTTTCTCTTCTCTGGAATCACCCCACATTCTCCCTCACCCCTCTTCCCAAAATCTGTTTTAAAATCAGCAGATAAAATCCTGGTGGCCATATTCAGAACTTTGGATTGCTGCAGGGTAACCAGGAGCAGCTCTCAGCAATTCACCTAAGCCATCATTGGAAAGTTTGCCATCACTCAGTCTTTTCCTTTTGGAAGCTTCAAGCCAGGGTCTTTCCCACACACTGACACAGGTAGTGTGTGTACCTCACTCTGTCATACCATCAAACACCTTGTATGCTTCTCCTAAACATGAGCTCCTGGCGCTCTTGGCCACGTGATGTACAGTATTTCAGATCTAACTTTGATTTGGTTTTGTCAGTAAGATCTGGAATTTTTAGATCAAGTCAAATTCTTTGGATCCTATAATGGAAACTTCTGTTTTACTTAAATAAATGCACAAAAGAGAAATGAACTACTTATAGAAAGGCATAGTAATCAGCTGGTAGAATACAACAATAAAATAAGTCACTAGAGGTCACTCTCACTATTTGACAACAAAGCTTCCCAATGCCTTTCCTTAAGAAAGGCAAAGCAGTGAAACCAGCTGAGACCCCAGCACCAGATTTGGTTCAGTAGTTATGATTTCTCTGTGTGCACAGAGTTTGTTGTATTGATAGTATTTTGCTTGAAATTCAATGGAGGATTAAGAAGCCAGCAGAAATTAAACTGTTCTCTTCTGCAGTGAACATCTTCCCAGAAGAACAGGGGCCTCTGAGAGGAACTCTATGGGACTCAGACACAGGTTTAGATGTTCCACATGGGCTGATCACCAGACTTGGCTTGACCAGTCATCTGGTCACACTTAAAATTTCAACACTACTTTTATGGAAGTTTTTTCCCTAATAATCTTTTTGTTGTTGTTGAAGAAGCTTTTAATATCTCTATATTCAACATATCTTTGTTAATTTTAGAATATCTTCTAGATGAAACAATTCCTTCAGATAAAAATTCTATAACCAACAAAAATGAAATAATCTTGAATACAGTAAGAAAGTAAAAAGGGACATTTAAGAGTATTCTCATATGGACACCATGACATGTTCAAGTGTTTTTTTTTTTAATGGCAGTGAATTTTATTTATTTATTTATTTATTTATTTAGAGACAAGGTCTTGATATGTAATTCAGGCTGGCCTTGAAATCACAGCAATCCTCCTGTCTCAGCCTCCCAAATGCTGAGACTGTTTTCTACAGCTCACTTTTCAGAAGCAAAAGCATCATCCTTCCTCCAAGGTGGCAAGTGGCTTGTGGCACAAAGTGGCTCTTTGCATATAGTAGGGTTATGAGAAGAGCCAGGTCAATTCTTGACATTTTAGGCAGTGTATGCATTTTACTTGAATGTTAGTTCAGGAAACAAATAAACAAGGAAAGGGTGTTTCTGCCTGAAGGGAACTTGCTTCTTCATTGTTCATGGACCTGGCCTGCCTTTCCCTCCCCTCTCCTTTCCTTCTCTTCTTCCCTTGTTTCTCTTCTCTCTGTGTATTTTGAACTGTCCTGTTATACTCTTCATATTTCTGAAGATGATATCTAGAATGGACTGCATCTTTTCCATTAAGGATAGTTCCTGATCATGTAAAAGCAGTGAATGTCACCTGTTTTTCCCTCTGAGCTCATCCATGGTAGTAGGTATAAAGTTTTGATGGCAGACTCTCAGTTTTGCCTGTTCTTTATGCTTTTTAAAAATCTGTTGTTATTACAAAACTTTCATGTGTTACAAAAGGACACGAGGAAAACTTTGCACACTTCATCATGTTACAGCCATTCTTATCCTGCTCCTATTTGATTCTGATCAGCAGGTGGTGCAGGAGGATTTGACTTCCCTTGTGCTGTAGGTTAATCAACATTGCTTCCTAGAAATAGGAATCTGATTGTTCTCATAATTTGTCCTGGGGTTCTTTTCACTTTGTCTTCTGCCTAAGAATGAATGACAAGTCATCTAATGCTCTCATACAGCACCCGAAGACAATCCAAAGAATAAAGAGAACCACTGTATTCAGTTCTGAGAGAAGCCCATACGGCATGTGGTTTAGCAAGGAACTTCATTTATGCTGTGATATGGTGATATGTGTCAGGAAAAATGTCTCATACTGTATAGGAATAATTATTTCAGTAGATGTTTTATTTTGAACCTTTTAATAATTTCATTTTTGTAAAGAATGTTGAGATGAGTAATAGATACTTAATTTAGCATTAAATTGCATTCTATAAACAGTGGAGTCCAGATTACCTTTATTCATTTTCTCTAAACTCTAAACAGATAAACTTTACAGAGGATAAGTAAACCATGGAAATAAAATCAACCCTCGAAAATTAATTGGATCATAGTAAAAATCAAATTACTTGCTTTTCTGTTTCCTCCCCCTTCTCCTCTGAATGGACATAAAGCCATCCAGCAGGGCCGAGTGGGTGGGCAGCCATGCGTAGGGGGTGGCCTACAAGCACGGAGCAGGGTTCAGACAGACATCGGGGTAAAGAAGACATCCATACAGTGGCAAGAGTGGAGACACGGGGGATGGTACTGAGAGTAACCTAAAGCAAATTGTCCCTCAAGGAGGGAGGCCTTCCAGATGGAAAGAGACTAAGAAAGCATAGCTGCTAAATGCTATGCATGGTCCAGGCTGAATGATTATTCTGTAAAGGACATTACTGGGAACTGGTGATACTTGAATATGATCTCATAATTAAAAGTTGGAACTGTACCCATGATTATTGTGATGAATATATTATAATATGTGGGAAAATATCTCTGTTGTAGGAAATACACATTAAAAGTTTCAGGGAACACAGTTATTCAACCTTCATAAGTTTTAGATTGTTTTAAAATTAAATGCTTATTTAAAAAAATCAACCAAGATTGCATTAAAGGAAGAATGGACAAATAGAATACCACAAATAAATAAATAAACTTAAATTGATGCTTTTTATCTAACAGGTTATAGATTGAATATCAAGAGGGTTAAAAAACTTAAGCATTTAGTGTGAAATAACTATGTATTCATTTACATCTCCAAATCGGGTTAGTCTAAATTTCTGAATGGCAAAGTTCCAGGTAACACTGGGATTGCTCCCCTTTGCTTTTCTGGAACATTTAGTGGCTTTACTTCTACATCATACTTCTTTAAAGTACTTTCTAAATTTTCTGAGTAAGAGTATCTCTCCTAGAATAGGCTTCCCCCTTTTGATTAGACTTCACTGAAAAGACAGTTCCTTCTTAGTCCAGGTCCTCTTTGCACAGTATTCAGAAAAACTGAGTCATTATAAAGTTGCACTCATGCCAAATATGCTGTACCACTACATAAAAATATTTCTTTTACACTTGCAAATAAGCATAGAATTGTTTTAAATGCCTTTTGTGAAGGCTTTCATGTATCTGGAAATATGATGTGAGAGCTACAAGATAAATCTATGAAATTCACAGCCAACTGTCAGAGTCTCTGTTGTACTATAGTGAATCCTGTTTTCTAAAGAATGGAGTGTATGGTTAGTTTGAAACCACTACTCTGGTAACAAAGACAGGAAAGTTTCATAAAATGGGGGCAAAATTGACCCCATTTGTATGGGAGTTAGTGAACATTCTTGTTAGAATAATATGGAGAGTGGGCAAAGTCTAAAAGCAACTGATATTTTAAAAACAGTCTAACATTTTTGCTATAGGATTGTAATTTAAATACTATACTTTTTAGTAAGGAAGCAGATAAAATTATTTCCTAGCAATAAACTTAAGAAAAATATATAAAGAACTAAAAAAATCAGACCCCCTCCAAATATAAGGACCCAGTACAAAAATAGGCATCTGAAATGAAGAGACATTTCTCACATGAAGAAGTAAAAGCAGCAAATAAACATATGAAAAAATGTTCAACATCACTGGTCATTCGAGAGATGCAGATGAAAACAGCACTGAGATTCCACCTCATCCCACAAAGAATGCCTGCTATCAAGAAATTAAACAATAACGAATGCTGGTAGGGTTGTGGGGAGATTGGAACCCTTCTTCATTGTTGGTGGGAGTGCAGACTGGTGCAACCACTGT